TCTGAACATATGTAGGAAATAATCTCAATATTTTGGTATCAGTTGAGACTTGACTTGTGACCAGTATGTGGTCTATTCTGAAGAAAGTTCCATGTACAGTTAAGAATGTGTATTCTGTTGCATTAGGATGGAATGTTCTGTATGGACTTCTATGTCTATATGGACTTCTCTGAAGTCCATCTGGTCCAGTGTGTCATTCAAAGCTCTTGGTTAGAAGATCTGTCCTTGGCTGAGAATAGGGTGTTGAAGTCTTTTATTAATGTATTATTACTTATGTGTTTCTATTTTGGTTATCGATTGGTTGATATAATTGGTTGCTCCCACATTAGGAGCATAAATATTTATAATTGTCAGATCTTCTTGTTGGATAGACTTTAAGTATGATGTAATGTCCCTCTTCATCGCTTACTACAGTCTTTGATTTAAAATCTAATTTATCTGAAATGAGGATTGGTACCCCAGCTATCTTTTCAGGTCCATTTGCATGGCAAATGGTTCTCCACCCTCTCATTTTCAGTCTGAAGGTGTCTTTAGGTCTAAAATGAGTCTCTTGAAGACAGCATATGGATGGGTTTTGCTTTTTTATCCAGTCTGATACCCTGTGTCCTTTGATTGGAGCATTTAGCTCTTCACATTCAGCCCATTCAACCCATATTGAAAGATACGGATTGAGTGCCATTCTAGTCCCTGTTTCTGTAGATTGTCTCTGTTTCTTTCTGATATATGTTATTCTTGGGCTCCCTCTTTGCTTATAGGATACCCCCTTAATATTTCTTGCAAGACTGGCTTGGTGGTCACATATTCTTTCAGCTTCTGTCTATCCTGGAAGCTCTTTATCTCTCCTTTCATTCTGAATGATAACCTTGCTGGATATTCTTGGCTGCATGTTTTTCTCATTTAGTACCCTGAGTATCTCATGCCAGCCCTTTCTGGCCTGCCAGGTCTCTGTGGATAGGTCTGTTGTTAATCTAGTATGTCGCCAACTGTATGTTAGGAATCTCTTGTCTTGAGCTGCTTTCAGGATTTTCTTTTTATCTCTGAAATTTGCAAGCTTCACTATTATAAATCAGAGTGTTGATCGGCTTTTGTTGATTTGGGGATGAGTCCTCTCTATCTCTTGGATATGAATGCCTGCTTCTTTCCCCAGATTAAGGAAGTTCTCAGCTATGATTTGCTCAAATGTACCTTCTGGTCCTCTCTCTCTATGCCCTCAGGAATTCCAATAATACATTTTTTTTTTTCAAACTATCACTTACTCCTCAGACCGTTCCTCATGGGCTCTTAGTTGTTTTTCTCTTTTCCTCAGCTACTTCCTTTTCATCACCTTGTCTTCTATGTCACTTACTCTCTCTTCTGCCTCATTTACCCCAACTGTTAGGACATCGAGTTTAGACTACATCTCAGAGTATTTTTAATTTTGGCCTGATTAGATCTCATTTCTGCCCAAAGAGATTCTCTAGTCTTGTATGCTTTTTTCCAAGCCCAACTAGTAACTTTATAATTGTAATCCTGAACTCTATCTCTGATGTTTTACTTAAATCTATCTCCATTAGATCTGTGGAAGAGAGTTCTACCTCTGGTTCTTTCTTTTGTGGTGAATTCTTCCTTCTAGTTATTTTGTCCAGTGCAGAATGGCTGTATGAGTGAGCAGAATCAAAAATATCAACTATGACCCAAGTTAATACACACTAGACAATTCTGAAGAGGTCAGGAACCAGAAAATAAAAGAAAAAAGACAAAAACAAAGGAAAACAAATTTTTAAAAAGAGAAACAGAAAAAGGTGGTGGGTCAGTGAACCTGTTCTCTGTTCTCCCTCCCAGCTGATCTTCTGGGGAAGGGGCCTGCTGTGCTGATTCTCGGGTGTCTGTGCCTGGGCAGAGTTATACCACCCCTTGCCAAGTGGCCAGGCTCAGTGTAAGCTGTTTGCTTTGTGAGGTGTTTGTTCCCTGAAGGCATTTTGCGCCTCTTGCAAAAAGTGGTCATTTTTCTATTTGTAGAGTTCTAGCTCTTCTTTCTTTACATCTTAGGTTGAATTCATAGGTTTTCAGGATGGTTTGATAGTTATCTAGATAAATTTAGGGGACCAGATGAAACGAGGACACCTACTCTTCCACCACCTTGCCACTCTACTTTGACATTCATTTTAAAATAAAATTACTTAATACTAAGAAGAAGAAATTTTTCAATCAATGCATTATCTTTCCCCTTTCCAGTCATCCCTCAAATAAGATTTCTTTCACAGAATGTTAGAGCTGAAAGGATCCTTAGAAACTATCTGCCAATAGTTTTCAACATGGACTATATCTCAACCCTTGCTCAGAAATGCAGGGTTGCTTCTGGATGGGTTAGTGACTGGGAAATGCTACTGGCATTAGGGATGCTAAACACCCAGTAATGCACAAGAGTCCTTCAGAATGAAGAATTACCCAGCCCAAATGCCAGTAGTATACCCACTGAGAAATACTGATGTAATTCTCTACTTTGAAGATGAAGCCATTAAGGCCTAGAGATGTTAAATGACCTACTGGAAACTACACAGCTGGATCTAGAACCCAGATTCTCATTCTCTTGTTCTACTCTTCTTTCAATGAATAAAATCCCAATAGAAAAACACAGAAAACCAAGAATCAATTATATATTAATACATAAAACACTGTCAAAACATTGGTCACGCATTAATATTTGAAATGGAAGTAAAACTGCAATTAACTAAAATATTAATATCCTTTTCAAATTGTTTTTTTGTCCTAAGAAATAATTTTCTTTCAGATAAATCACTTTTCAAAAATCCACCACATTTAAAAGAAAGAAGAAGAAATCAACTGACTTATTATGGTTACCAAATAAAACATTTTTTGAATGGGAAATTACATAATTTCTGACATAACTTAATACCCTATAGTCTAGCACTAAGTTTCCCTTCTAACCCTGAAGAAATTTATAGTAGCAAAAAGAACACTGAACTAAAAATCCAAAGAACTCAACACTAATCCTCATTCTGATGTGTATGTAACTAGTTGCCAAATCTTGAATAAGTCGCAAACCCTCTAGATCTATTTCATGTTACATAAAATGAGCTTAGGTGTCTGTGATCGTTTCTAGATCTAAGATTCTTACTCTATATTTCTTCCTTATTGCATAACAAGTAGGATTTTAAAAAATAGAGGGCTACCACCTAAATATTCATGAAGAAGCACCCTACAGTGATCAGGGATACAACTAAAGACTGAATCTCAAAAGGTGATCACTGACAGATTAAGTTCTACTATTAATTTAGTTATTCTTCAGCAGCACCTTATCTCCTACTGATATCTGCCATCATCTATAGAATCATTGTCATTCCGTTTTCCCTACATTGTCCTAAAAATGAAGGCTAAGTAAACAATTTTCAGAATAATTCAAAATTAAAGCTTTATTCTTAAAAAGATATTTACACTGAGGTGCCTAGGAGGGCTCAGTTAGTTAAGCATCTGATTCTTGATTTCAGCTCAGGTCATGATCTCAGGGTAGTGAGGTCGAGCCCTGCTTTGGACTAAGATTCTCTCTCTTTCCCTCTGTCTTCCAACCCCCATGGTCGGTCTGTCTGTCTCTCTCTCTCTCTCTCTTAAAAAAAATAGCATTAAACATTTCACTTCTACATATACACGGAGATGAAAACGTTTTAATTTTAAAATTACATCAGAACTGGCCAAATAGAATATATTGGGGATTTTTTACAGCAAGTGTACTAATCTGTTACTGTGTGTGTGCCTCTACATTTTTAAGTTGTTACAGACTGGTCTTTGCTCTTGACACATATATACGCCCTAAGAAAACTAAGTTGCATTTAACCTTTATTCTTACAAAATTTCAATTCCTCCATAAAATTGATTCCTTTACATACTTGTGTTATACTTCTGAGGCAATATATCTATATTAAATAGTAATCAAAATAAATGACATAGGGACAGAGAGATTGTTATTTTTATTTTTCCTTCCCTCTCCTTATCTTTCTCTCATACACACACATACACACACACACATGCGCATGCACACAACATAATTCCACCAACCAGAACATGCAACACAAGTTAGATATCAAGCTATATGGAAACTGAATCTAAAATAAATTCATGAATGACCTTAAAATAAGGCTTTCAAACTATTCAAGAATATATTTTAAAAATGTATTTATTTCCCTGAGGTTCAGTTACTTAAATACAGTTTCTTCTTACGATATTCTGAAATTTTCCCAATGTGTGGTCCTTTTTACCTATTCATGCAGAGTTGGACACTTACCTGACTGAGCCACCCAGGTACCCCATTTCAACATTTTTTATTTATTTATTTTTAAAGATTTTATTTATTTATTCATGAGAGACACAGAGAGAAGCAGAGACATAGGCAGAAGGAGAAGCAGGCTCCCCTCAGGGAGCCCAATGTGGGACTCGATCCCTGAACTCTAGGATCACGCCCTGAACCAAAAGCAGAGCTTAACCACTGAGCCATCCAGGAGTCCCATCAACAATTTTTAAAATATGTTATTTAAATACAATTAAATATAAGTGGTTTTGTGTCTTGTTAAGGTTATAAATTTAATCCTTCAGCTAATTTTTTTATTATTTATTTATTCATGATAGATGGAGAGAGAGACAGAGAGGCAGAGACACAGGCAGAGGGAGAAGCAGGCTCCATGCAGGGAGCCCGACGCGGGACTCGATCCCAGATCTCCAAGATCACGCTCTGGGCTGAAGGCAGCGCTAAACTGCTGAGCCACCGGGGCTGCCCAATCCTTCAGCTAATTAAACATGCAATTATTATTCCATCATATTCACAAAGTCTAGGATTAGATAATAAATACTCTGCAGACAGTCTAAAACGCGGGTGCAATAAAAAGGGAGGGTTATCACTACAACCAAAACATTCTATTTCAAACAAGCAAGGAGTTACGTCAAATAGATGCTTTGCTATTTGCAATAACATCTGACAACCAATCAATACTGTTAAGATTGTACTATACCAAAACTATCAGGAGTCTCTGCTGATACCACCTTCTTTGCTTGCTTCACAATGGCAATCTCAGGTTTAGGATATCTGCATGCTAAAAATATTGTAAAATCAAAATATATTCAAGTGATAAATAAAATATGTATAAATAAAAACATACCAAGTTTTGAAGTGAAGCGTGCTATAATAGGCAGTCCTTACTTTGTACAGTAATATAGGGTCATAAAAATGACAATGCAAGATGAAACCATATGGTCTTAGTATCAATGGGGAAAATTACAATTATTCTATGACCTTTAAAATTTTTTTCAAAACAATAAAAATTCTCTTGTCAACAGTTATGAACATAAAGAGAATTTATTTTTTTTAAGATTTTATTTATTCATGAGAGACACAGAGAGAGGCAGAGACATAAGCAGACGAAGAAGCAGGCTTCATGCAGAGAACCTGATGTGGGACTCGATCCCAGGTCTCCAGGATTATGTCCTGGGCTATGGGCAGCGCTAAACCGCTGAGCCACCCTGGCTGCCCTATAAAGAGAAATTTAAAATAGTAAAACTAATGTATGATCTCTTTTCATTTCTTTGCTGCACTTTCACCTTTTTTGTTCAATTCTCTTTTGATTATCCACTTTTAAAAAATATCTCATGGGTTTATCACTATCAGACAAGAATTCAACACAAACTACACATATTGCTATCTGTATGCAAACTGAACAACAGATTAAGTAGAGACCAATCACTGACAGACTGAAAGACTGATATGATTGGTTATGATCATGATGCACATCTGTTGTTACACAGCAGTTCACAGACAGCAGAACTGTACTTTATACAATTGCTCGCAGTATATAAAATTTGAACTGTGCTGTTGGGAACTATTTTTATGTAACTAAAACATAGTCACTGAAATTTGTGTATTTGGGAACCATGCAAAGCACAGAATGCCTATTATAATAAAAAAATGAATTGTTTAATGAAGTGGGCATAAGTCCAAGGAAAAAATAGGGCATTAGAATTTTATACATATTTTTTCTACATATATAATAAACTAATGGAAAATAAAACAGAACAAGATTCTTTTCCTTACAAGTTAAATGTTTCCAACTTAAATTACTTAATTTACTATCATTCAACCATCAGTGAAAGAATACCTAACCTATAATTGAAGGTTATATATGTTATAGGTTATAATTAAAGATTATAACCTAAAATTCAAAGTTCAGTGATTGAATCTTATTTTTTTTAATTTTTATTTATTTATGATAGTCACAGAGAGAGAGAGAGAGAGAGAGAGAGAGAGAGAGAGGCAGAGACACAGGCAGAGGGAGAAGCAGGCTCCATACACCAGGAACCCGATGTGGGATTCGATCCCGGGTCTCCTGGATCGCGCCCTGGGCCAAAGGCAGGCGCTAAACCGCTGCGCCACCCAGGGATCCCCGAATCTTATGTTTAAAAGTAAAATAGTTTTATCATAAATCAGCTGGCAAAGTTTTTTTAAATGTGCATTCATTGCTGAAAAAGCTCGTAAAGGTTACTAAAAAACAAATACAAAAATAACAACTATAAAAAACAAACTTTGCAGAAAATAGTCCCTAATCTCAAGGATATACAAACATATGAGATGATAAGAGAAGAAAAAAATACATTTAAGTTTACAGAAGGGAAAAAATATAGCCTTAAGAAGTGGGATATAGCCTCTAGGAAGAGGTAGGATTTGAGTCTGGCCTTAAGGCACTGCAAGGATTTAAATAAGTCAGAGAAGGGAGGTTTTCCTTTTCTTCCCATATAATTCAGTCTAAAAGCCTTAAGATGGGATTGAGTGAGGTAGGCATCTGTGTGGGAGGCAGGAGAAGCCAAATTGGCCCAGAACAGGATTTGAGAGCTCAGAGGGGAGGGAGAGAGTGTCCACACAGGGGGATTAGTATGGCACAAGCTGTCAGAGCCCAAATAGGGTGGGAAAGGCTTCCCCATGGTAGAAGAGAGGGGATGTGGCTCAGGATGTCAGTTCTAGGGCTGGGGTGACAAGGGCATCTATATAAGAGTATGTTGGCAGTGGTAGTGCTAGGATATCAGTGACATGTAGGAAGAGCGATCTAAATAATAAATATAGTAAAGGTAATAGGAGCCAGGTTTTTTTTCCATCATAGAAATAGAGTCAGAAATACAGAATGAAAACTAGAATGTACCCTGTGATGTTGGATCAGAATTGAAGAAATTGCTATGAACTTTCATATTGTAATATAGACAGAGAAACAGAGTTAGAAATCATATTTATTATATATATAAATACATACATTCATATATTCACTAGGCCTATCCAGACAGAGGCAGGAATAGCAACACCCCAATATCTATGAGCAAATCTCATGACCAGATTAGTTTCTAAATAACACTCTACCTGAAGAAACCAGGGCTCCTGCTAACTGGCTGATTCCAGGGCTAGGGTAGAAAAAGTCCAAGAGGAACCTGGAACATCTTATGATGCCAGAAAGTAAGGAAATGTTCTGAGTAATGGAGCTATGTCAAAAAGACAAAGAAGTCAGTTTAAAGGGGTTCCCAATGGTGAAAGATGAACAATTAGAGGATCAAAAATGATAGTAATAAAAAATAGTAATTAATTATAACCCATTAAATAGAAAAAGAATCCATGAATATATATTGATACAAGTTAATAAATTAAATTGATGAGGAATGGAATATTTTCAAAGACTCAAAGTACCGCTCCACAAAATAGTTACTAATGAAAAAAAGTAAAATAATAACTTCATGGTAGATACCATATTCATCAAATGTTCAGAGAAAAGTTACCCTGGAAATGGTTAACATGACCAGGGACAAATTAAAATCATAGGCAACTGACAGAATGAAAGAGAACAAAACACTACTTTTATGATATTCCTATCAAAGATGCATAATTAGAATCTATTCATGAGGAAAGAGACAAAACAAAATTGAAGTACATGCTACAAAATAACTGGTCTGTAATCTCAAAAGTGCCAAGGTCATGAAGACAAAGCCTAAGACTGAGGAACTGTTCCAGATGGAAGGAAGTTAAAGGTATGTAACAACTAAATGCAACATGTGACTTCGGACTGGAATTTTTTGTTTAAAAGAACACTACTGGGGCAACTGGTGAAAGTAAACGGCTTCAGAATATATAGATGGTAGTACATGATACTCTGTGGCTATATAAGGCAATGTTCTCATTTGTAGGAAACACAAGCCAAAGTATTCCAGCTGTAGTGGAAATTGCAATACATTGTCCTTAACTGCTGGAAATCCTGCCAAGAGATACCTCTCAGTGGTCAGTCATCATGGAAGATTGCCTCAGCCGAAGAATGGTTGCCTCATCCAAGGCTCTATACCCTGCCCAAGGCAGACCACATCCAATAGCTCATTTTTATGGAGGTAGAGGCCCAGACCTCTTACCCAACTCAGAACAAAACTGAAAGGTCACCCCATGTGTAGAACTCTCCACAAGATAAACTGAGGCTTCCAATGAGGCTACGTCACTTTACTTGTACCTCTGCCCAAACCTACTTCCTCCTGTTCCCCAAAGGGGAGGATTTCAACAGCATTCCCCAATAAACTTTCTGCATGCTAATCTTTTGTCTCAGAGACTGCTTCCCACAGAACTCAACCTATGACAGGGATGACAGGGCATCATGTCTACAACTTATTCTCAAATGACTCAGGGGAAAGGAAAAACTATACTATACTTGAAACTGAGATTTGTTATATAAATATATGGAGAGTTATAAATTTGAGATTGTTCCAAAATCTTTTTTTTTAAAGATTTATTTATTTGAGAGAGAGAGTGTGTGTATGAGCAGGGGTAGGGACAGAGAGAGGGAGAGAAGTAGACTCCTGCTGAATGCGGAGCCCAATGTGGGGCTCTATCTCATGACCCTGAGATCAAGACCTGAATGGAAATCAAGAATCACTCAACTGAGCCGACCAGGGCTCCACATTTCAAAATTTTAAAAGCAATACAAAATTAAGTAGGAAAACCACAGGAGAAAGAACAGAATGAAAAGCAAAAGAAAAAAATTACACTGGGGGCATGGTTCACTGAAGAAATAAGACTAATCAATGGACAGTATATTCAAGGTATTAATGGAAAATGAAATAGATAAAAAAGAACACATCTATCACATAGCACTTACAACACAAAAGTGATCATTGTGGAACTGTAAAATCAGTGCTAATGATTTACATCTTTGCTAATGTCTTTAAGAAGCCCCTTTAAGCAGGAAAATAAGCTAGGATAATGTTTTTTAAACCGTAAGATCTTAGTCACAAATACAAAATTCTACCAATTCACAAAATGTGTCACATCTTACATTATCACTCTCACATCTGTTTGCCTCTTTTCTTTCATCATTCAAACATGCCTGAGTTTAGCTACATGACCTCAACTCTTTCTAACCTTAAGAACAAAAACACCTTCTATAACCTTGCTACTCAATGGACCTGTAGCATTGAAATCACTGCAAATTTGTTAGAAATGCAGAATTTTAGGTCCCACTTCAAACCTACTAAAACAGAATCTACATTTCAATAAGATTTCCAGATAATTTTATATATAGATTAAGCTTTGTGAAGCAGGGCTCTAGTTTCCACTGTGGGATGTAGAAAGTTACAAAGAGCTTTACTGTGACCATTAGGGTGAAACAAAGTCACACTAAATTCAAATGCATGACTTATTTTGAACCTGTAAGAGAACTCAAGTCACAGAGCAAACAGGCAGGCACCTGCAAGGACAGAGGGGACATTAGCACTTGCTTAGTTGTGACAGATGCAACCAGATACCATAAGAAGACTATAGCTAGAACAGGAAGGAAACAGGTGATGGCAGAGTAAGGGCTGGAGGGTCAAAGTGAAGGGGATAGGGTATGCATAAACGGGAATAATTTGCACCTTCTTGCAGGTTCTTTGACCAGAAATTCCACCAAGATAAAAAAAAAAAAATGATGAGAGAGAGCCTTAATAGAGTGTTCGTTGTGGCATAGACAGGGAGTAGGGGAAAAGCAGTTGTGCAGGAGGAACACAAAACTCTACCTAGATCCTTTTTCAATATGTCCTACGAGTC